GTAGGGAAAGTGAGGGGGGATGAATGTAGTGTTGTGGAAAGTGGGTGGGCCCGAATGTAGTGTAGGGAAAGTGAGGTGGGATGAAGGGTAGTGTGGGAAGTGAGGTGGGACGAATGTAGTGTATGGAAGTGAGGGGGATGAATGTTGTAGGGAAGTGAGGGGGGGATGGAATGTTGTGTGTGGGAAAGTGGGTGGGCGAATGTAGTGTAGGGAAATTTGGGGGTTTGGGATGAATGTAGTGTGTGGAAGTGAGGTGGGTAATGTAGTGTAGGGAAAGTAAAGGTGGGATGAATTTTTAGTGTGTGGAAGTGGGGGTGGGATAAATTTTTAGTGTAGGGAAGTGAGGTGGGTTAAATGTGGGTGTGGGGAAGTGGGGGTGGGACGAATCATTTGTTTATTTTACGTTTTTTGTTTTTCTTTTTGGTGGGTGTGGGGGTTTGTTATTTTCTAACCCTTTTTTGTTTTCAAAAATTTTTGGGGGGTGTTACGTTTAAATTTTATTTGTTTTGGGAATTTTAAATTTTTCAAAAAATTAGTAAGTGTGTCTTGTACATACAGTTTTATGAAAAATTGTCAATACCTGTGACATTTTTTGGGGTTTTTATATTGCTATTGTGTTTATGGCTCCCAATTTTGGATGTAATAAACCCCCCCTGTATTTTAAAGCTGTGGGCTGTTTTATTTTAGTTCTTATGTAAAATTTTTGTGCTCCCGGTTTCCCCTTGGGGGAGATTTTCGGGGGTCAACCCCCCCCCGGGCCGGTCTGGGGACCAGGCCCCCTGGTGGATCAGCCCCTGATCAACCAGGCTGTTGTGCGGGCTGCACGAAAACCAACGTACGGCCACCCCCGGCGTGGGAAAAACTGACTTTAGGTGTTGTCCCGTGCCCGCTTGAAGGGCTGCCAGGGGTTGTTGGTTTAAACCCCCCTTTTGTGTTCTGGGGGGCAGTTTTAACAGTCTCGGGCCCCTGGAAATTATTGTATGGTCTCTTAAACGTGCTAGTGACACCCCTGTTTTATTGGGGGGATGGTGGGATTTGTCTGCCAAGTTTTTTGCTTTCGTAAATGAGTGATTTTGTGTGCAAATTTTGGTACTAGTCCCTCTTGGGTTTTCCAGGTGTTTTTGGAAAAGTGGAGTTTTTTTTTTGTTATATATAAAGGATACGTTTTTATTTTTTACCCCTTTTTTCCCCCATGTTTTAACTAAAGATTGCATTTTTCAATAAAAAAATTTAAAAAAAAAACTTTTATGTCCCCATGCCCGGGTAAGTGGGGGGTTTAAGGGGGGGGAGGGCATTGGGGACCATTGACAAATTGTTCCCCGTCTGTTTGCCGCAGCCCTGTCATTTGCTCTCTGGCACAGCAAGGGCAGGGTTTGGGGGAAAAGGCTCAGCATTTCGGGGGACGATTTTTGGTTTTTTTATAGGCTAGGCCCCAGTCTGCGAGGGAGTACGTTTTTGTGTTCGAAGTTTTGAATTTTATTGTAATAGGTATGGTTTTTTTTTTTAAGGGCTTATGGGTTAATGGGGAAATATTTGGATTTGGTAGTAGGGGGGTTTTTAGAGGGGGGCTTAAGTAGTTCTGGGGAAAAACTGCTCCAAGGTCATTGTTTTAAAAATCTCGACAGAGGTTTTTAATCATAGGAATTATACCGTCAGTCACTTTTGCAACAAAATCATTTTTGTTGATCAGGGGAAACATTAAGACGTTTTTCCCTTTGGGAAAATCCCCCCAGGGAGGTAACCCTTTCCAATATCTAAAAAAGGTTAGCCTTTGGGAAAAGATCAGACGCTATATCTGTTTCAAAAGGAAAAAATCACGCTGGCAGGTTAAAGTTTTAAGCCCGGCACGATCAAGAACCCTCCATGAAAATGTGTTGGGGTTCCCCCGGTACCTAAATTTGGGACATTATCATGACGTTTTAAAAGTTTACAAACAGTTTTTTTGCCCCTTTCGTTACCAAACTGGAGTTTTTCCAATTTCTTTTGTTTTTTATTGATTAAAATCACAATAAAGAGAGTAGGTTCAGGGCTGGGGCACAAATTGGGGGGCTCCAATAATTAAACTTTTCAGCAGGAGCTTTACAAGTTAAATTGTTGAGAGAGAGTTTTCCCCCTATAAATACTAACACCCTGATACTGTGCCCCCCTGTTTTCTTTTTGTGCAAGAAAATTGATGGGGGGTGATTTTTTAATATAAAAGAACCAAGAATTAGTAGATTTGGATTATATGCAACAAAAGATTGCAAAATTTTGGGGGGTTGGGGGTTTTTCAGGGACTCTGCACTTTGTGACACCAAAATCATGGATTCAGAAAATCTTTTTCTTTAAATGACCCCAAAAAATTCCAACTTAAAAAGGGTAGTTTTTTTCGAGTTTGGGTTCCTTATAAAAGTCCAGGGGGTAGATTTCAAAATTTTTCAGCAAAATGAAAAAAAAATTCTAAAAACAAACAGACATAATCAAATAAATTTTCATCAGTTTTTTCCTTTTCCAAAGAGTTCCCAAAAAGCACTTCCATTAGTGAGACCTCTTGGGAGTCTTTTTTTACACAGAGGGGGCACAGCGCTCTTTTTCTTGTGAAGTATGGGGGGGCACTATCCCCCGCACTCAACTTCCCCTTTTATTTCACTCTTTACTATCATCAATGTATTTATTCCCCATTTATTATGACCAGTGATAAATACCCAAATTTTCAAAAACCCCGGGGAAACTCCACACTCGTATCTATCAATTTCATTACATAAACGTTTGGGCTATCAGATGATCTTACTGCCCCTTTTCATCTTCCCCTGTGGTTGTAAACACCACTATCAGATTCATCATTTTTGTAATTATTAACACCACTGCAAACATCAGTTTTTTTCATCATCACCACATCATTTTCTTTAAAGGTGACAATTTTGGTTTTGGGGTTTATTTACTCTTTTTCAAAACCCCTAAGTTTTTTCCCCGTGGTGCTCAAGTTGTTGTTTCAAACACCCCTTGTTGCTTTCCCGGTTTCTGTTATTTCGCAGCTGCATGTTTGTGTCCACCCCAGAAAAGGGCTAGCGTCATCAGGAAGTATTTAAGTCCCGATCAGCTGAGTCAGGGGGGGGTGACTGAAGCTGAATCAGCCAGACAGGTGGTTTTCAACACCGAGGGATTTTAGTGGTATAAACCTTGGTAATAAAAACCGACAAGTTTGGGTTTTGAAAACACGTAAAACAAAACCCATAACATATTTATTGAAAAGTTTGGTCCTGGACCTTGATCACGGTTAGAAATGTTTAAAGGGCCCAAAGGGCCGAAAAGTTTTCTAAACAATAAAGTTATGTGTTTGTTACGTGTCTTTCTAAACCAGTTTCTAGTGTTGATTGCGGGCGTGGGTCGTGCCTGTTGGTGTACCCCAGGTGACTCGCCCCAACCCTTTTTGTCTGGGAAACAGGCATGGGGTTTAGTTTTTCAGACATGAAATAAATTTGGGAGGCCCCACTGCCTCATCAGGGGGGGGGGATGGGTGTGGGGGGGAAACCCCGCGGTGGCGATTGGGGAAAAGCTTTCGCTCGGGATCAGCAGGGGCAGCTGGAAATCCTTGAGTATTCAATTGATACATTGTAATTTCAAACCCGGTTTGGTGTTTCTTGATCATATCATAAATGGTGGAAGGATGGGCCCTTTGGAAAACAAAGGGACCCAGTGTGCTTAGATGGGATTTCCCAAGGGAATGTGGGCCCCCGCGCTGACACTTGTAGCATTTTACGGTGAGGTGGTTTGTACCCAAAATATTTTATAACTCCTGGGTTTAAACGGGAGAAAGAGAGTAGATAAAATATGGTGGAAACCCTTGGCCAATCCCCTCAGCCAATATCAGATCATTTGGGGTCGACGAGGGTTTTTTCAATTGATCTGACAACAGGAATTTTGGATCCCAAATACTTATTGTGGATAACAATAAGCACTTTAGGTTTAAACTTGGTGGGGCAGCCCTTTGGGGTTGGATGTTAGCATTTTTTTGAGTAAGAAATTTTTTTATTTAATGTTGGGGGCGTTAGTAAAAAAAGAATTATCCTCGCCATTTACGCAAGCGAATCCCAATGTTTTTCCCCTTGGGGGTTTTCTAGTGAAGCTTCGTTTAAAAACCCTCTAAACTTGACCTCAAACCAGGGGTTAGCGGGAAATCAAGAAAAGCGTTTTGCGATGGTTGTTTTTGTCTCGGTTTTTTTTTTTGCAGCAAGCCTCCTTTTTAAATCCTCTTCCCTTTTTTTAAAACTCCCTTATTCTAAAAGTTCGAATTTTGCCCCTTACCATATTTACTTCGTTCACATCCTTTGGTACTTCTAGTTCAGCGCTTGGGGGTTTTAAAAGTTAGTCTGTTACTTTTGGGTCAGCGAAACCGCCTTTATTCCATAAGAGAGAAGGGACAAGGAAGGGATATTCACCTCGCTAGACACAGACAATATGGGTGTAGTGGCCTGCAGGTCGCAGTGCGATTTTAAAGGTCATTCACTGGGCCCACAGTCATCTCGAGAGTTACCAACACTGTACTACTTGTTAATTACTCCAAACCCGCAGCACTTAACACATCTAGCACACGTGTCTTGGAATGACAGACAAATTTTCACTACCTAAGAACTAATTCTCACAACAACGAAGGTACGGCCGGAACACTGTAGAACGTTCACAAAGGCATTCTGGGACTCAGAACAGATGTAGCTGCAGTGTAACTTGGCCTTCACTGGCTGGCTTGGAGCGTTGTTTAGCCTGGATCAGCTAAACTCGCCCTTATCCCATATGTAGATAATGGCGACTAGTTAAGGGATACCGGTGAATAGGAAAGTCGAGGAAAGGACATTCACCTCACTAGACACACGCAGTATGGGTGTAAGTGGCATGCCATCTAGTGGTGGTGTAATAGTGCCATCTAGTGGTGGTAGTGGTGGTGTAGTAGTGCCATCTAGTGGTGGTAGTGGTGGTGTAATAGTGCCATCTAGTGGTGGTAGTGGTGGTTAGTAGTGCCATCTAGTGGTGGTAGTGGTGGTGTAGTAGTGCCATCTAGTGTTGGTGTAGTAGTGCCATCTAGTGGAGGTAGTCAAGTAAGAGTTAGTCAGGTTATCAGTGATGGTGTTATAGTGAAGGTCAGGACAGTGACCAACCTCAAGGGCACTAAAGGTCAGTTGAACTTCAGTGGTCGTACAGAATGGGCGTGTTGCTCCTCCTCCTGCCAACCCCCGCCGGCTTTACCGCTTCCTCATCCTTTTAATACACCTAAATAACGTAAGTATTGTCTGGTGACGTATTTGTCAGTACAACAGCAGAGTTGAGCTGCTGCTCCTGGTCCCCACCACCAGTTTAGTCACCAAATTATTAACGTTTTAATAGTCACAGTTTAATTTTCTTTGGGGTATAATGTCTTGGAGGGGGGGGGAGGGGTGATTGACTTTAGTGGAGGTGGTTTTGATGCGGGGAACTGGAGCTACTCCTCTTCCTCTGGTCAAACAATAACTCTCACACTACATAACCTATAATGGTGTATCCAGTTCTGGACTATTTTTTTTCCAGTATTGAAAAATAACTTAGTGAAGGTCTCTTGATCCAAGGAACTTGGGCCTTGTGATCCAGATACAGATTTCCATGTAAACATTGTTAGTCATTAGATCTATCTGAAAGAAATATTAAAGAGATAGCTTTACTATGTTAAACATTAATGGTTATATCAGTCAGGTAGTAATGTTACTAGTTTATATTACGTGGTAATGTTTGCCTATAAATGTGTGTAATGTTCATGGTTATAATGTGAATGTGTTTTGTTTCAGGTGTGGTAACTGAGGAGTGCTGTGCCTGGCTGTGTCTGCTGCAACATTGATCAACACAGCAACTTTGACCAGTCTGAGGGGTGGAGACAACCACATTAGTAAATGGTCTGACCCATAACATAGTGTTATATGGAGATGCAGCAGTTGGAGACGTCGTTAGAGGTGGGCAGGGCCCACTTGTAAGGTATTTCCAGGTTATAAGTCCACTAAAGTTTGGTTATTGAAGCAGATAGTAAATGAATTATGTGGGAAAGGTGGTGGGGAGAGTATAGGAAAGACTGTAAGCAACTGATATCAGAAGTAGCTTAGTGAGAAGTATTGTATCTCCCGACCAGAGATTTCATCTCTGGTCGGGAGATAATGAATGTATTCTATAGGTTATCTTGAATTACCTGGAGTTTACCTGGAGAGAGTTTCGGGGGTCAATGCCCCCGCGGCCCGGTCTGTGACCAGGCCTCCTGGTGGATCAGCCCCTGATCAACCAGGCTGTTGCTGCTGGCTGCACGCAAACCAACGTACGAGCCACAGCCCGGCTGATCAGGAACTGACTTTAGGTGCTTGTCCAGTGCCAGCTTGAAGACTGCCAGGGGTCTGTTGGTAATCCCCTTATGTGTGCTGGGAGGCAGTTGAACAGTCTCGGGCCCCTGACACTTATTGTATGGTCTCTTAACGTGCTAGTGACACCCCTGCTTTTCATTGGGGGGATGGTGCATCGTCTGCCAAGTCTTTTGCTTTCGTAGTGAGTGATTTTCGTGTGCAAGTTCGGTACTAGTCCCTCTAGGATTTTCCAGGTGTATATAATCATGTATCTCTCCCTCCTGCGTTCCAGGGAATACAGGTTTGGGGTGGAGATAAAAATTGGAGAAATAGGTTTAAAGCTTAGAATTGAAGACTGATTAGATTTTAGTAAGTTTGTTAGTGTAATATCTATTATGCAGTCTATACCCATCCTACAAGATTGTAGGAAGCAGAGATGAAATGTGTAAGTGATATATCATGACTCAGTTGGTAGTGGTATCAACTGAAGAACCTGATTCGATCCCGGGCACAAGTGGGCATGTTCCCTTAAATTCATTGGCACTGTTCACAAAGGAACACTGCAGCAGGCCTATTGGTAGGGGTCGCATCCTGGGGGAGCATAAATACCCTAATAAAGATGTCATAGATGTCATCCTGACGTGATTGTGTAATTGTGTGTTAATCTACCGGGTTAATTATACCGAGATAGTCGAGTGTGGTGAGGGTGATGGTAGAGGTCTTGATGCCGGGTGTTAGGGCAGCCTATTAAATCAGGCATATACATTATTAAGACATAAGGAGCACTGGAGCAGACCTATTGGCCCGTGCTAGGCAGGTCCAACTCTGAACCACTCATTTGTCTAAACTATTTTTGAAACTACACAGCCCAAGTTTTAGCTTCACATGACGGGATAAATTTTCCTTAGGCAGAATATATTATAGCCAGAAAAATCAATAACAGTTCCTCTGAAATGGGGAATTAACCACATCTTCCTATGTTCAATAGCTTTGAAGCCCCAAAAATATTTTTAGTATTACAACTTTGTGGGTTTAGCGCTTACGACTCCAGAGTCTGTATTAGAGCTGCTTCGGGGGGGGGGGGGGGAGCGTTTGTTTTGAAACTGGGTTATACAGTATATATTTACATTGACTTTGTAGACCCCTTGATCCTACCTAGACCCCCCTTGATCTTACCTAGACCCCCCTTGATCTTACCTAGACCCCCTTGATCTTACCTAGACCCCCCTTGATCTTACCTAGACCCCCCTTGATCTTACCTAGACCCCCCTTGATCTTACCTAGACCCCCCTTGATCTTACCTTTACCTCCCTTCACCCCCCTTGCGCCGCCACTGCTCTGCAAATTAGTAAGGCCTATACCTGGAGTATGCTGCATAGTTGTGGTGTATATAAAACTTTGACCTATAATTATTTAGTTTCTATCAAAATAAGTTATAGAATTGTGTGGTGTTAAGTAGGATAGGTAAGGTATAGAACTGGAGAATCTGCTATATGCATTATGAATGCATATAGCAGGGGAGAGTAATCTCCCCTGAAGGCATAGATTACGTAGAACTGTTGGCCTGGGAACCCACCAACGACCTTCAGTAGCTGTGTGAAATCTGTTATTGCACGTGGTTTCCGTGGGGATGTTGGTGGGTTTCGGGCTTTGGGTAGTGGTTGTGGTGGGTGTTCTACGTTTTTTATGCCTTTGGCCACACTGTGTGAAGTTAAATATTGATTCATCATTTTGGAAAATTTAAGCGACGTTCAGGTTCCTATGAATATAAAAGTATTATCGTTCAGAATTGCAGTTGGTTGATAGTTTAAGTAGTGAAGTCTAACGCTTCTGGCAGCAGATATTAATGATGAAAATAATGAAAACCTCTGATCTGAATTGAAGTGTTAGATGTTAGTGAATACTTTCTGCCGACTGATGCTGATGAGTATAGTTAGGGGGGTGATTTAGATTGGTATTAGTAAGATTATTAATCCTGCTGGGTTAGTAACAGAAAAATAGAGGTAGAGTTGAATGTAGTGGTCCCCAGGTTGTCTAGGATGCCAGCCATAACTGGCAGGTAAGGTAGGTTATGAATTCAGGCTAGCATAGTAGTATGTGTTAGGAAACTGGTATATGGCAGGTCTCCAACTGGTTAGATAACCCATGGTGCTGGTTTTTAGTCTAGTGTGCTCTGAGGGACATGGAAGTGTACAATGTTGTCTTAATGATCCTAACTACCTTAATGTTATATTTGGATGCCCTTCAGAGTACAAAAATTCCTTCTACAAAATAGAGCGAAAAACCAATGTCAAAGACCTGGGAGTGATCATGTCGGAGGATTTCACCTTCAAGGACCATAACATTATCAATCGCATCTGCTAGAAAAATGACAGGATGGATAATGAGAACCTTCAAAACTAGGGATGCCAAGCCCATGATGACACTTCAGGTCCCTTGTTCTATCTAGGCTGGAAAATTGCTGCACACTAACAGCACCTTTCAAGGCAAGTGAAATTGCTGACCTAGAAAATGTACAGAGAACCTTCACGGCGCGCATAACGGAGATAAAACGCCTCAATTACTGGGAGCGCTTGAAGTTCCTGAACCTGTAGTCCCTGGAACGCAGGCGGGATAGATACATGATTATATACACCTGGAAAATCCTAGAGGGACTAGTACCGAACTTGCACACGAAAATCACTCACAACGAAAGCAAAAGACTCGGCAGACGATGCAACATCCCCCAGTGAAAAGCAGGGGTGTCACTAGCACGTTAAGAGACAATACAATAAGTGTCAGGGGCCCCGAGACTGTTCAACTGCCTCCCAGCATACATAAGGGGGATAGCCAGGGGTCTATTGGTAGTCTTCAAGCAGGCACTGGACAAGCACCTAAAGTCGGTACCTGAGCAGCCGGGCTGTGGCTCGTACGTTGGATTGCGTGCAGCCAGCAATAACAGCCTGGTTGATCAGGCTCTGATCCATCAGGCGGCCTGGTCACAGACCGGGCCACGGGGGCGTTAACCCCCGGAACTCTCTCCAGGTAAACTCCAGGTAAGGGGTGTCGCTGTATTAGTGAAGGTATCTTGATACAAGCAGTTGCAAGTACCATCCCATTTCTTGCATCAAACCTGATTGCCTAACACTACCCAAGCTGTGTATAAACCTTATGGATAATATATTTGGTTTATGAAATTTTATTTGGGCAAATGGGCACGTATGTAAAATAGTTTGAATGGGGGGGGGGGACGGTATAGACAAGCTGACCTGGCCCCTAAAGTCAGTCAGGTTTCAGAGGAGAGTAGTGCAAGTTGATAGATTTTTTTTTCCAGCTATGTACCTTAAACATAGGCGTAGGTTTATCTAGGTTGTAATGTTAGGGAGTTATCCTCCAACTTTTTTTTAATTGCCACAGAATCCTGACAATTAAGACAACACTGAAGACAAGAGGTGATCACAATAACCTGTGTTAGACTTGTGCACGTGGAAGTGTTTGCAGTGAAGATAGTGTTGTACATGACTGCCCAGCGTCACAACACTTAGCTTTATGGCAATACAAACAAGATTATGAAATTTTAAAAATGTATCATACCTCAAACTATTAATAATGGCAGTATTGAGGCTGTCCGCCTCATTATTACTATTGTTAGTAGGGTTGGGGTAGGTATTTTTTTTTTTTCCCCGAGCTTAAAGCTCCCGAATTGTGTGAATGTTGTCGTCCTGCTGACAAATACAGCAGTTGAGGCTTGTCTCAGTTACTTCTTAATTTCTTTTGTGTTCCTTGAACACCTTAGTGTGTGTTCTTTGAATATTTCTTTACTGTGATAAAGACACTATGTATTACAGTTTAATTAATCTAAAGTTTATCGAATCTTGTAGGTTGAAGATATTCTCCGTGTTGTAGCCAGCTGCTGTGTGGTAAAGTCCGTGTTGTGGGCAGTTGCTGTGTGGTGAAGGCCGTGTTGTGGGCAGTTGCTGTGTGGTGAAGGCCGTGTTGTGGGCAGTTGCTGTGTGGTGAAGGCCGTGTTGTGGGCAGTTGCTGTGTGGTGAAGGCCGTGTTGTGGGCAGTTGCTGTGTGGTGAAGGCCGTGTTGTGGGCAGTTGCTGTGTGGTGAAGGCCGTGTTGTGGGCAGTTGCTGTGTGGTGAAGGCCGTGTTGTGGGCAGTTGCTGTGTGGTGAAGGCCGTGTTGTGGGCAGTTGCTGTGTGGTGAAGGCCGTGTTGTGGGCAGCTACAAGTCTTCAGAGATGTTATCACTAGCAGCATCAGCCCAAAAATGTCTGCAAAGATAAAAGTATGGACATTACTAGATTTATGAACTGCAGTAAACAATAGTTTGAAGTCTATGTATTTAGAATGCTTCCTTCAGCAGTTTATAGTAAGAAAAATTGCTAAAATATTTTTCAAAGCTGAGCTATCAAAAATTACCATGAAATTGGAGTAATCCAAGTTTTTTAAATTACCAGAGGTTGATGGAACTGGAGGTGTTGGTGTGGTGGATGGCAGAGGAGTGACTAGTGGCGCCACTATTCTTGACCTCCATGGCTAAATGGCGCCATTGACCTGGAGGAGGGGGGTGATGACGTCAGTGGTTGTTTGTGGGGAGTGGGAAGGTCGTTAGGGGAAGGGTCGGGGGTTGGCTGCTGGTGGAGGATTTTGGGTTGAGTCGTTAGTTGTTACTCTATTGTTCGCATCGCGCTCGGGCCGTGCGGACCTGCTGCGCAGACGCTCCTGATTGAGTTGGCTTTTGCGCAGTTTACCTGACTGAGCACCCCTCATGGAAGGTTCCTTGATGTTGGTGAGGGAATTGGATCTGTGCTCCAGTTCCCCGAATTAAGCCTGAATGCCTTCCACATCCCCCCCTCCCCTGGGCGCTGTATAATCCTATGGGTTTAGCGCTTCCCCCTTGATTATAATAATAATAATAACCTGACTGAGCTGCCCCTAGCGTTGGTTGGTGGAAACTTTATTTTCTCCAACATGGCGCTGAATAGCAGAAGACGAATCAATACTGTCTGCATTGAGATGATCCATGGGGCTGTCACGGGATCCAACATGGATTTATTGCTACCAGCGATCATTCGCGATACCTATGGTATAGCAAATGAGGAGATATGTGGTGTCGCACTCAATGGAACGACGAGAAACTTCGTTAAAATGACGTCTGCACGAGTCTACGAGGCGGTGGTCGACAAGTATCAGGAGACCACCATACCGGTTAATACAGCTGTGTCGGTGCGCCCCTCAAGGAAGGTTCCTTGATGTTGGTGAGGGGCTCTTGATTTAGGGAATTGGATCTGTGCTCCAGTTCCCCGAATTAAGCCTGAATGCCTTCCACATCCCCCCCAGGCGCTGTATAATCCTCCGGGTTTAGCGCTTCCCCTTGATTATAATAATAATAATGTGTCGGTGCGACTCCATGATGTATCTCGACAATACACTTGGGTGAAAATCAGGAATGTGCCTTTTGAGGCGACTGATTTTGACATTAGCAGTGAACTGCATAATTAGGGAACTGTTCGCGTAGCCACAGCAGGGAGATGGGCAACTGGACCGTATGCAGGTATGCTGGAAGGTACATATACTGTTAAAATGACTCTACGACATCCTATTCCTTCATATGTTGTGTTGAAGGAATTACGGACTTAAGTCTATGTAACGTATGCGGGGCAACGACGTACATGTCGGCTAGTTTAGTTAGTTTAATATGTTTATTATGCACCCCATACCCATCCTGTGGGCGGTAGTCAAAAGATTACAAAGGTACATAATGGGTCCAGTGACTGGACCCCAAAGTTATGATAGCTGAACTAGTTACAAAAGTAATGAACTCCAGGTAGATCTGGTCACAATCATGGCAAGTTACAAAGGTAATGAATCAGCTTCACTCCTATACATGGTTACAGACATGAACAAATTACGAAGTAATGAGCCACTGATACGTCCACACCTGGTCACAATTGTAATGAGTTATAAATACAAATATTAAGTGGATCATACACTCACACTAGCGCACGCGCACACATACACACACGAGGGCGCACGCACGGACATGTGCACACGAGCGTACAAATATATGCATACACACAAGGACGCACCCCCCCCCCCACACACACACACACACACACACACACACCCACACACACACCCCCACACACACCCCCACACACACCCACACACACCCACACACGCACACGCGCACACACACCTGGTCCAGCAAATGGCTTCTCGAATTTAATCCTGCCAAATGCAAAGTCATGAAGATGGGGGAGGGGCACAGAAGACCACAGACAGAGTATAGGCTAGGTGGCCAAAGACTGCAAACCTCACTCGAGGAGAAAGATCTTGGGGTGAGTATAACACCGAGCATGTCTCCGGAAGCACATATCAATCAGATAACTGCTGCAGCATATGGGCGCCTGGCAAACCTGAGAACAGCATTCCCATACCTTAGTAAGGAATCATTCAAGACACTGTACACCGTGTATGTCAGGCCCATACTGGAGTATGCAGCACCTGTTTGGAACCCACACTTGATAAAGCACGTCAAGAAACTAGAGAAAGTACAAAGGTTTGCGACAAGGTTAGTTCCAGAGCTAAGGGGAATGTCCTATGAAGAAAGATTAAGGGAAATCGGCCTGACCACACTGGAGGACAGGAGGGTCAGGGGAGACATGATAACGACATATAAAATACTGCGTGGAAGACAAGGTGGACAAAGACAGGATGTTCCAGGGAGGGGACACAGAAACAAGAGGCCACAATTGGAAGTTGAAGACACAAATGAGTCAGAGAGATAGGAAGTATTTCTTCAGTCATAGAGTTGTAAGGCAGTGGAATAGCCTAGAAAATGACGTAGTGGAGGTAGGAACCATACACAGTTTTAAGACGAGGTTTGATAAAGCTCATGGAGCGGGGAGAGAGAGGGCCTAGTAGCAACCGGTGAAGAAGCGGGGCCAGGAGCTAGGACTCGACCCCTGCAACCACAAATAGGTGAGTACACACACACCTTAGAGGACGGAAAACTAGAGATCTGGTAGACGAACCAGGGAGGAAAGACTGGGAGTTAGAGCTCCAAAAAAGGGAGGAAGAGTGGGGAAGGAAGATAGTAGAGCTTGGTAAGAAAATGGAGGAGCGGATAGCTGAAGAGTGCAGGAAGTGGGAAGTACAGGTCTTAGCAGCAGAAGCTAGGATACAGTGCTTAGAAGAGAAACTGCAAAGCCTGAAACAGATTAGAGAGACAATGACAATTCAGATGTGACATCAGGAAATTCAAAGTCAGGCGCAGACAAGGGGATGGTAAGCAACAACGGAGACATGCCGTACACGAAGGCCCTATCAGACCCACGTGGGGGCCAGGGGAAAAGACGATGAGCACACTAAGATCAAGCGACAGGTCCGAAGACAATGAAGGTTTGTTATATGCAGAGATTCTAACAGCCAACTGCAGTAGCAAGGGACAGCTGGTCAGGAAAGACAGTTCACTGAGAATAGAAGTTTCAGATATGACGGGACTGAAGGCAAGAACATGTCAATGGAGGAAATAAAATGCCTCAGAGGAAGCAGATGGAGACTCAGTGGGAGGAGGAAAGGGCGAGGTCAGTTTTGTGTACGGGCTCCAAGAAGCCAAGGGGGCCAACTTTGAAGAAATAAAACAGGAGGAAAAAAAATGATTGAAGGCATCATGAAAACAATAGGGGAGGGCAATATGACCCAGGTGACAAATTTTCAGAGAATTGGGTGGTTTGCGAGTGGAAGGATACGGCCTGTCAGAGTAACTTTCAAGGAAGAATCAGTTCGAACCAGGATTCTGCAAGAGAAAGCAAGACTGAGGGAAAGAGAGGGTACCAGAGAGTATACCTCGACCGCGACAGAACACAAGAAGAAAGGACTATACTGAAAGAGAGGGTACAGAGACGCAAGGAGGAACGAGAAGCGGTGAAAATGAGCAGGACCCAGACACAGGAGGAAGGGCAAACACACCCCACAGAATCTCCCACCAAAAGACTCCACCCACGACATTCCCAACGCAACTGAGCAACCTATACTACAACCCACTCACTGTTCCCTCTGCCACCAACCCCCATATCACAAACCTCACCCCAACAGCTGTCCCTTATGGGTATTCTGACCCCACCCCCATCAACACAAACCCCACCTACACCACAGCCCCATATAGGCCCCCACCAAGGCTCTCGCTCCCCCAACCCCAATATACTTGCATGACCACAATGATAGAAAAGAAATTAAAGGTTTGGTACACAAACGCGGATGGAATAACGAATAAACATGAGGAGTGGAATGAAAGAATCAGTGAAAAATCCCCAGACATCATAGCAGTCACAGAAACAAAACTCGCTGAGACAATAACAGACACAATCTTCCCAACAGGATATCAGATCCTGAGGAAAGATAGGAGTAGAGGGGGAGGAGGGGTTGCACTGCTCATAAAACACCAATGGGGATTTGAGGAAATGGAAGGCATGGACATGATTGGAGAAAGAGACTACATTGTAGGTACAATTCAGTCCAGAGAACATAAAGTAGTCAT